ACAGGCATCATAACCTTCTCTCTGCACTACTCTTATGTAGAGTAGTGCAGAATGAAAGCATCTTTGACTCATTGTAATATAATTTGTATTATGAAGTCAAAAAAAAAAAAAAAAAAAAAGAATATCACAAGTTGTATTTGTAACTACTTTAAGTGAAAAAAAAGATAAAAAAAAAAAGGAAATTGCTGAAAGAGTATACTTGTCAAAAATCTTTAACAAATTAGTCTTCAGAAAAGAAAAAAAGTGGGAGAGAGTGAATAAATAAGACCTCAACAGTTATTACTTAAAACAAAAGCAATCATTGTTCTGGTTGTTCAAATATTAGCATGTGAATTACAGATCATTTTAATCCACAAGCATCTAGAAGCTTTCTTGGTTGTCTCCATAATGGAGCAGATTAATTCCCTCTATTTCTGTCAAGGGCTTTCATAGTGATTGATCTGCAAAACTGTGGCACCCAACTTCAATCAGCTCACAACAACAACAACAACAACAAGTCAACTATTCTTTCATTCTGCACTTTGTGTACTTTTTTTTCACATTGGCTTCATCAATGTTCTTTTCTCAGGGGAACAGTTAATTCTCACAAGATCTCACTTCTTTTATCACATTCCCCCCCCCTCCCTCCCTCCCTCCTCCAAAAAATAATCTTATGAGTGCAGTTGGGTTAGTAAAATGTGCTCAGGAAATTTCCAACATCAACTAACATCTTCCAACCTGGAGCTGTGCTGATGTATGACACTTTTCTTTTTGAAGAGGTTGGTGCTTCCCTCCTGCTTTTAACAGGCTTGTATTTACAAGATCATTTTTAAATTGCTCTTAAAGCACCAAATCATGGCACCAGCAATAACATCTTTCACTCAGGACTGTGGGGCAGTTACTGAGTATATGCTTGAATAAACCTCTATTTGAGCCTTTCCACATGTGTAGAGATTTGCCATATACAGCTTGGATAAGGAATCTGACCTGGATAAACTTAGAATGTCAGATGCCTGACCAGACAATATTTCTTTATAATATGTATTACCATTTGATTCACACACCCTACTTACTCAATGCAACCATCTTTCCAAACCTTACTTCATTCACACCTGCTCTCACTGCAAGTAAGTGCTGACATTCTTTATCAGTTCTGTCTATTTAAGGTTTATGACAAAATCCCAGGCCAGTTTGTCTTGTTGATACTGTTTCTACTAGAGCCTTGTGCCTCAATTATTTCTCTTCAATTTGCAGTTCCCATGACACTTTCCATTTCCTATCCAGACACACTTGTGGCTTTTTTGGAGTCATTAGAGTCCCTGTAAAACATCATCTTTCTTGTCCTAGTGACCATAAATTCCTTAGTATGCCCCTTGAAAAGAAGCTTTAGAACTTTAGTTGGCACATATAAAGCAGCACTAGTCAGAATTCTTAGTAGACCAAACCACCTACTCAGCTAACCACTTATCTTCCTTTCCATTTGCATCAATGTCATCATGCAAATTGTGTATAACTTTAGGAGTCACAATATCCTTAGCAGAATGGCATACTGATAAATCCAGGCTTTGAAATGCTGTGGTAAACCAGATTTATCCACCTTTGTTAGCCATAATTCAAGGTCATCACTCATCTAGTGGATGGCAACATTATCCTTTTTGCTGCAGTCAAATTGTTTTCCCAGACTCTTCCCAGAGTTGGGATTCTGACTCCTGTGACTAAGAAATTAAATCCATCTACCACTACACCTCTTTTCAAAGCCAACAACCTGGATTTCAATGGCTTAAACTTCATGGAATTGTCCTTTCCAAACCTCTCAATAACCATCTTCATTCAGGAACAGATGACATTATTTAACAGTGTTAAATCATCTATTTAAGTCCAAATATGAAATCAACACACTCCTGTTTTCCTTAATGGGCCCTGACATGCCACCTCAGCTGATCAACAAATTAAAATCAAGAATGAATAGGATAACCAAAATGGTACAACCAGTGATGATCCCCTTCTCAAGACAATGCCATTGAGAAGATAATGATTCTGAAATTGTTTCCATATAAAACATGTTGTAATGGTTTGGTTTACAGCATATCAACCTCAATAGGTTATTTAATGCTGATAACATTTTAATTGCTGGTTAATATTTTCTTTTCAAAAATGTATTGCTGGTATTAAAACCTATTTTTATGCTTTTATAGTGTTTTCACTCCAGTTCTACTGGGGAGGGGAACTATTTCCTCATAGCTGGGACCCTAAAAGGTACTATCAAACCCAGGTCAGGGTGGACCTAGGAACACCAACAATTAAGAGGTGGTTCCACATTCCTCAAAAACTCAGAGGCCTTGCTGCCAGACAGTTTACCATCATGCTCTGGATGCAGATCTAATAATCAAATATTAAGTTACTTGTGGCACTAAGTATGTGGTATCTTCTAAGAGCTTCTTCAATCTATTTGTGTGGCATGGATCTGAAAGCATTGGCAAGATCCAAGCACACTTATGCCAAGTCACCTTTACCTTCTTTCACTACTTTTAGGAGCGGAGTTACTACTCTTGTATGCATAAGATAGCCTGGTACTCCAGGAATCCCACCTTTCTGAAATGATATGTCAATGCACTTACAATAAAGTATTTTGTCAGTCACCAGGACAAGATCATAAAGAAAATCTTACACTGTATCTAAAAGCAAGATAATCCTAAATTGCTCAATCTTTGTAGAATTCTCCCTTTCAGAATCCAGACTCCCTTAGAGCATATCCAATGATCTGCAATTTTACCCCTTGCACAGATCACTCTTAAAATCCTCCATAGTCACCTAAGGGTATTCAGGAATCACTTATATATAGCATACAGTATAGCACTCTGTCCTGGAGTAGAAGCTGATCTTGATGCCTTTATTACCTCCTCTATTTCTGATAAACTCTTTAGCCTAGTATCAAATCCTGACGTAGGCAGTTCAGGGCTTACAATTGATGTATCATATTTGATGTTTAATCTCTCTCTTCAGATCATCACTGTATGTGTCTCTAAGGAAAGAGTTGTCTGCCATACATGTCAACTGACTGCTATGCTTATCACCAAGCATCTTCTTCATAAAAACAAGGGGGTTAAAGATAAATACTTTTTTGGCCCTCTTTTCCCTACAGATGGATTTCAACTTATGCTTCAAAATATCTCAAAGTTCCACTAGTGGTTGTCTGTTTTAACTACTAACTTTCAGAACCGTTTTTTTTTTTACAAATCTCTGTTCTTGTCTAATATTTTTATTTTGAATCTCCCAATGTTTCTTATTGTAAAGTTTGTTATTCTACCTAACTTCAACATGGTCAAATCTTTCTGACACAAAACATGTGATGATGATGTTTAATTGCTTGTTTGTACCTCCTTTTATTGTAGCTCACAAGATATCACTCACATCTACATTTCAGCCATTGCTCCTTGTTACCTGCTGCTTAATTATTCTGTCTAACAATTGAGGGACAGATGACTTATCAGCTAACATGTGATAAATAATTTCAGAATGAAAGCGAGTAATTGTTTACACCATAAAAACTAATATATCTTCAATTTTGAGAAACTTATTTAGTTATTAAACAATTATATGAAGCCCAAAAAATAGGTCAATGTATTTTAGTAACAAATGATTCAGAACTAATTTGAAAAAAAAAAAATTAAAAAATAAAAATACAAATTAATAAAATTTGACAATATGCAGATGTTTAATTCTTTTTGGAGTGTATGCAAATCTGAAAGTTTAAAAAGACTTAATGAAAATGTTTCTTTCATTTCTCTCTGATTTTTTTTTTTTTTTTGTTAACACAGCAAATTTTGAAAGGTGAAAAAGATCAATTTGCAATGTAAAAAGTAAATTTAAGAAAGAAGAAAAAAAAAAATTTGAGAAAAGAAAGGATGAGAAATTTTATATTAAGATTATAAATTCATAAACATTCCACTATTTAAAAACTGGATATAATGAGTCGGTTTTTGATTTTAATGACCAAAACAATTTCTGTATATCAAACACTGAATTATTTCCCTTAAATTTTCTTAATTTACCTAGAATTTATTCTAGAATGTTGAAACATCTGGTCAAACCTTGAAAGAGCAATGTAGAATAAATTGATTTGTGTATTCTTTCAACACAGATTAAGTAGTTCCTACTTGAAATAAATTATACAGCATTTTTCATTTTATTTTTGAGGCATAACTTTTCAAATTCAAAAGGATGACTTGTAATACGATTGAATGTAAAGCCGGAAGGACATTTAAAGGAGGTAATTCAGTGTTTCGTATGCAGAAATCATAGCAAGACACAAACAAAAGACGAAATACTAGCAAAACAAAAAAAAGAAAAAAAAAAAAAAAATGAATAATAATAATTTAATAATGATTTTTTTTTTTTTGTCCTTATAATTTAAATATCTGGGTTATTTTATGTTATACTCTCCAAATTGTTGATAGTCACCATCCAAGTCATGCCTGTTGCATCTAAGTTTAAATATAACCTAAAAATCATGTTCAGAAGAGAATATGAATATACAATAAAGGATTAGAAAATATAGGCAGTTTCAATAGAAAATGCACATATGTAAGGAATTTTATACATTCAAGTCATCAATCTGTCTCATAAATTTTATTTAATTTATTAACTATGGTATGTTGAAAACATGTAAATATTTCATCACTCACAGCAAAAAAGAAAAAAAATTCAATAAGACCTGTTTTTCTAAAGAATCCAGTAACTGAAAATAAATGTATAATTTTGCAAAAGAAAATTTCTCTTGCTTCAGCTGTTATTGAATGTATTTACATACTAGAGAACACATTTCAAAGAGACAGTTCTTCCTACTTATCAGTTAATTATTTACCCAAATTTTATGATTTATCACTAATTATAACAAGTTAATTTCCATGATGTACAACACGTTTTAAAAGTATGTTGTTTTTCACCCATTTTTTTTTTTTTACTTTCATATAAGGTTTTTCCACAAAGGTTTACATAGAATTTGAAAAGGGTCACTTTACCTCAACAAAAATGTCAATCTGTGATCGTGGGTAGAGACTGGTCATTATAGCCGCATTGAATGTTTGTTGAAGATAAATGGTCATTTCTTGAGATTTCCTGTCCCCACGTGGACGACGTTTCCGATCTCCAGTGCTGAAAGTTGCCATGCTGTATTGACAATTCACAAGAACTTTATCATACTGGACCTTACTTTTACTGCCTCGAATCTAGTTTCCAAGAAGGAAAAAAAAAAAAAGTTTTTTTTTTTTTTTATTTATTCATGAAATGTGAAATTAAAAATGTTAAATGATAACTATTTTAATCAGTTTGTATATGCACTGAAGCTAAATAAATTTAAAAATTTTTTCTTCTTAAGATGGTTGCAACAAAGGAAAGAAAAAAAAAACATTAGACTGCCATGTAATGTCTTCATTCTTATATGGCATGGAATGCAAGACAATTTCGTCACAAATGGAATTATTCATACCCCCATCAATTTTTAATATTTTTATCCATTTCTCAGAATCTAATGCCCATATGATGCCAGTTTTTTTTCCATATTTCTGTTAACTCCTCACTGATAAATTATGAAATAAAAGTACAATTGTTTATTTATTTTTTTAAAAAAAAATAAAACTGAAGGATATGTAAAAAATAAAAAATTAAAAAAATAAAAACCCGAAGATGTTACTTTTTTCTAAATCAGGAAAACTTTAAAAACCTTTTACGATATTAAAAGAAAAAAAACTTGTTTTTGTTTATATATTCTGTTTTGTTTAAAAAGAAAAACAAAAAACACATTGTACTTTTAATTCATAATTTATCATTTTTTTTTAATATTTCAATTCTAACAAGTGAGGAGTCATAAATGCGACATTAACAGAAACATGGTTCATTTTTCTTTTAACAATATAAAAAAATGCAATGTCTTTTTAAATTTTGTTTTACATAGTTGAAGTTATTATTAGCAAAGTAGCAGACTAAATTAAAAGTTCAATAAAATTAATTTCACTTTTAAAAACTGAAATAAATGTTATATTTACTTTTAATTCTTACTTGATTTTGCTTAATTTCAAATATCTAAACAAAAAAAACAAAAACATTGCATTGTTTTACTACTGTGAAAACTTGTAAATTGAAAAAAAAAAAAAATGCCCATTTTTGGACTTTAAATAAAGTTTCTGCACTTAAAAAAAAAAAATATTAATTTTCAATTTTCTTTTAAATTTCCATCCAATATTTCCAGAAAAAATTGGAATGTATGTGATATCCTTAAAGCATTGGAATTATTTCAATTTATTTATCTATTTTATAATAAGTAATGATTTTATATCTGTAATAAAGCTAGGCCTCTATAAAATAAACAATTGGTTCGCTTATTTAAATTTTTTTCACTAACAATTCACAGGCATGAAAAATCAAAAAACTGATGCCAAAATCTGAACTCACATAGGTGTGAAAAAACTGCAGATTCATTAAATTCACTTAATCCAAGCCCACATCAAGCCCTTTAAAAATGTTCAAATTTTTTTTCACACCTTTTGCTCATGTCTTGTAAGTGGAGTTTATCCCCACCAGCTGATAGTGCATTTTGGAGACAACTTTTTTCTTTTTTTATTGCTAGCCATTTCAAAGACAAATTAACTTCATTTAAACACTATCTTCTTTCTTATTGCTACTTTCATTTTTTGCAAAAATTATTGAAATTATGCATTATTGAATTATTGAAAGATTTTTTTTACTTTTCTGAAAATTCATCATGGACCAAAAGTGCTGCCTCCACCTAGCTGTGCCACTGAAATAAATACTTAATGCAAGCAAAATGTGGTTCACCCCCCCCATTGAAAATACCATAAATAGAGCATGTGACAAATGAAGAAGTTTTAGGAGAATATGTATTACAAAGAAACTGTTGCTAACAATCACAAAGACAGCTAAAACAATAGCACCACTCACAAAAGTAAATTTTCAACTAAAACATACATTTCCACCATCATAAGCGATGCACCTACAACCTGACAAGAGTTTTCATGCTGTTCACATAAAAATTTGAACCACAAACTACTGTCACTCTTGTTGTTATGCATTATCCACTTGTTGATATATGTTCATATATGCTAAGCAAACATTTATGTTAATCAAGGTTTGTAATTTTTTCACATGGAGAAATTCAATGATATACTTCTTTACATGAATGTTCATGTCATACACCAATAAGCCAGACTACTACACCACCATCAAGCACACTAATCTGATAAAATAGGAGCATTACATTTGTAGCAACTTTATGTCTTGATATTACATAAAATAAATTCTCAGTTTTACTTGAAATTAACATGATAGCAATTTTCATTTCATTAATAAAGATTAGTTATCTATATTTTAATATAGGTAGCTCCACAGATTCGTGATGCCCAAGTTTTAAAATGAATTTTAAAAAATGAAAAATCTTTCTTGAAGTGTTTATTTTAGTTGTAAATTCAAGTTAATAGATTATATTTGAATATTTCCAATATGCAAAATACTTTTCTCTATTTCAAAACTAATTTAAATTACTGGAAGGAGCTTCTACTAGAAAAAATCTGATTTCAGAACCATTTTTCATGATCTGTGTCATCAGAATATAATTCTTTTTATTAAAAATCTTCCAAAAATAAAATATACTTTTTTGTAACTTTTTTGAGGAATATTAGCTGATTTAAAGTATAATTAATCTGATTTTAAACAAATATTATTTAAGTTTAAAATATTGCAGAAATGCATATTTTTAAATGCAGTAGCTGTTTATTTAAGATGTGAATGTGCTGACAGATCTAATGTTATTCTATAGGGACTTTATCTGTAAAACATAATTGAAGAAAATAACATGAATGCCCTTTTTTATAGCTTTTTTAAGTACTCAGTAAAATTTAGGAAAATATTCCCTGTTTTATTGAACTGTAGATAGTTGGCTTTAAAATTACTATTTTCTCATAATGTTGTGTATGAAATTCTGCATCTACAAAAATCAGCACATACAAAACAATAGAAAATACAAAATTCTTTTAAAAATATTGGTATTTGATGACTCATACTAAATTTTTTCCATTTATGTTCAGTAAATAAAAGGGCAAAATTAATACAAAATTTTAATTACAATATTTTATAAAGCTTATTCTAATTAAAATTTAAAAAAAAAAAATAAATGCTTGTAAAATTTTAATATTTATTAATTTTTTTTCTTAAAGACAATAGTGTCTTTAATATCTTATTCATAAACACAATTAAAAGCTTTTAGTTTTACTTTTATTGCATTTATTTTACGATTCAAAACAATAAATGCAGTTTCTCTTTTATGAATAAAAATTGAGGATTTAAATTTTCCAAAGAGTCCTGCTTTTAACTCGTGTAAGTGGGTGATATTTTAATAAGTGGGCAGAGGTAAATTTTTTTATTTGTGAATAAGACCTGAAAATGTCATTAAAATTTGACAATTGCTAATCTTTGGCCTCCCTTTATTAACTGAATTAAATATTTTTCAGAGAATTTCTATTAAAATAGGTACCTCCACTAATTTGCTGAAAAAAGAGCATATCATTATGAAGCCCCCAAATCTGAAAAAAAAAAAAAAAAATCTTTATCATCAAAATTTTTGTTATTATTAAGTTTCCTCTTAATAAAAAAACCAAAGTATTTTTTGATTATTTAAATTTTTTTTAAAATCCTTTCTAGCATTCTAGAATGCGATTTTTTAATATTTTTTTTTTTGTATCAACGATGGTGGTGAGAGGATCAAAGAGGAAATTTTAGCGTCTTTTTTGTGGTAAAAAAAAAAAAAAACCCAAAAAACACACATTGATTTGGAAATTCTTGCAAAATTCAAATAATTGTCGGATTTTAATGAAGCCTTCAGGAGCTGGACTTATTCACAAATGAATTAAATTATTTTAGAAAAGTTTTATAAAAAAAAAATAGTTTTGGTTCATTTTTTTCATCACGATATGCTATTTTTTTTTTATTCAGTGTATTGTATTATTCTAATTGTATTATAGCAAAATAGTAAGTTTGGGAAATAGAAAAGACTAATAAATACTAGTTTCACTTCTTATGGATAGAACAAATCTTTTCCTAGTAGTATGGAGAGAAAATCACTCATTTTTTAGTTGTACTCAATTCAAGAGGAAATAAAATCTGCAAACCCACGTGCATATAAAGCGGACTGCAAGTCAAGTATAAAACTGATATTAGCAAGGCAGTAACTTTAGTTTATATTAAGGTTTGAAAATAATTTTCTCTATTTTATGTAACAGGACATCGAGTAAAACAACAAACTAAAAATCAGTCAGCGCTAGTGCCTAGTACTATTCATTATTTTCAAATTGCTGCGGTCAATACTTATTCTATTTTTAACTTACTTCATGCGGTCCATACACTGCAGCTAATACTTTAGTGTTGCCCATTTCCAAATAAGCTGAGCCATCTGCCTGTCCGAAAACTCCGAGTCGGCACTGAATTTTCCGTAATTCGTGTGGTCGACGTCCATCAACGCGGAATCCTTGATCGGAAAGAAGTTCAAGGCCCGCCATTTTAGAAACTAAGAAACGGTGTAACTGTAAGATTTTCCCTTTATTTGAATAAACTTAAAATTTAAAATCAATTTAAATGAATGCAACACGTCATTGGTGCATAAAAAAACAACATTCTTTTACGAGTTCGAATAACTTGGGTTTTAACCAGTTATATTTATTCAAATGTATGTTTAATTATTTAATATGGCACTTCATGAAATCTTTATTTGTAAAAAAAATATAAAGACTGAAGAGAAATACATGATAGATTTATTTTCAAAACTAAATAAAAGTAGAGTTCTGTTTTTATTTTCTTATTTTAATCATTTTTAAGCGCTCTCGGAAAAGAAGTGTGGTATTAGTTTGGAAAAGGTTGTGGGAGCTACTTCGCATTTTGTAGACAACCGGAAGTTGAGATCTTCTGTCCACAAGCACATTGAAACGAAGAAGAGAAACATAACTTTCGGCTCAGAGTAGCAAATTAACTTTTGACTAAATGAAAAAGAAATTCATAATTATACTAAGGAAGCGATACGATATTGCTTTTAACTGAAATTAAATTTCAGTCAACCAAATTAAAGTGACCAATCATAAGCCTACAACATCATAAAACAAATAAATTCAACTTCAAACACATGCGACGAGTGAGAAGACCAAAATGAAAACGCGTCTAGGTGAAAAAAAAAGCATTCTTTATCCAGCCTTTGTTTCTACTTTTGGCCAGTTCACAGAAAACCAATGAAGGAAGTCTCGTCCCAGCAAATCCTACCCGGGTAGTAATTGCGAGTTCAGTTCCTGAGACGGGTACTTAAAAACTCATTAGAAACGAGGCGAGCAATAATAACTGAGCAGTGTAGTACTACTAAATAAGAACTTGACAAGATATTTCTGGACATGGATAGCGGAACGAGATTAAATAAAAGGTTCAGTTTGAAATTCCTTGAAAGTTACCTGGATCGGTAATAATCATTTGATAAAGGCCGAAGGGCACCACGGCCGAAATGCTTTGATAACAACACCTATGATGGCGACAACTGTACACGTGACGTGTAAATTGTAAATAATATAACTCTGCATCCCAGAAATTCAGACAGATATTTCTGTCTGAATTTCTGGGATGCGGAGTAATCACATGTTTATTTCAGAAAACATTTTTTCTCTAGAAGAAAGAAAAGGTTGACATTTCAAACAATATACATTGCTCATAATATATATATATATATATAATTTTAAGTTATCTTCTGTTTATACGTTATTTTTATACATACAAATATTTAAGTAAATGCGAGAAATTTTTATAAAAAATGTGTCCTCCGACCGGAATCGAACCTGTATCCTGACGTGCTATCCCAGTTTCGCTACAGCAGTAAAATCGACCTTACTAACTAGACGCATGACATATTGTTGGATCAGGACAAATGTTCGAAGCTTTTATAAATGAATTTCAAAGACAATATTTAGATATTTGTACATAGATCTGTTCAACCACAATATATGTCATTTTGTTCCATTACCTTTCACCATATTCTATGCACCTTCATGATTCCATTCTCCCAGAAATTGGCATCTTTCTAGTCTAAGTGATTATTACAGGCTTCCGGAGAATTTAAATTCTTTCTATTAAGGATTTAAATTAATGAGAATCTGAATATGCACAGGGTCTGTGAGCACGTCGCGCGTAGTAGGATATCTCAGCCAAGCTATACCAATTTCTGCCGGGTCTGCAAAGAGGCGTGAGACCAGGCGTTTTCTTGGTGAAAACGATACACTTCCGGTTCAAATGAAAACAGTACTTGTCTTAATTCAATATTTGATTTTGCGGAAGAAGCACGTAATGCACAATGTACTTCCAATCCCGCCAGATACACGGCATCATCTTCATAGGATGCAGATCAGCTTTTAGAGTGGTTAATAGTGGCTAATTTCGTTTTTCTCATGACCTTTTTTGCTCCACATTGTTGTAAACCATCCATTTTTCATTGCTAGCCACGTGAGACCTCCGATTTCCGCTTACGTCCGCCGACACATTCCTGTTTTTTCAACCCGGTTTTTATTTCTGGTTGTGGAGACAACTACTTTTTTTACCACGTTTATCTTCTAGATTCTCATAATTCATTTCATTTTTCATTGCAGACCGGCTTTTCGAGTTTTGGCTCATTTCGTTTGAGCAAAGAATCGCAATGGAAATTCGTCCCATGAATTTTTTTTTACCGATAAATCATGAAACACTTAAACATAGTAGCAATTCACGTATTCAAGTGCTTTCAAATCTATTACAACGCTCATATGAAATATGTGAATTATCTCTGCGATGCCCCGTGTTGAATTCGTCTTAATCAGCGTTTTGACTTGGTCATCATCAACGACTGCTGGCCATTCGGAACATTCTTGATTTTTCAGATCGAAATTTCCTCTTTTCAACCTTACGAATGACACTATTTCCATAAACGCAGTGTTTCTTTCTTTTCGGAAATCTAAGAGTATCAAATGACGAAAATTTATTTCATTTTCCTCCATTTTGGGTTTTAACGCAAAAACATTTAAAATTCACAATTCACACACGAATCGAATAGAAAGACGACTTGAAATACTACTTTTCAGTATCTGTGTATATGATAAAAATTCAGTAGTGTGTGAATCGAAATCATGTGTTCAAAAATCATATAGACAAACTACGAACGAAGAAGGACGGATAGAGGGGAAAGGTGAAAGTAACGCGTGACATACTTAATGGGCTTGAGCCAGTGGCTGGCGGAACAGGGTCTGTGAGAAATAACAAAAAGGCTAAACTTATTAAAAGCTACAAGAGATAGGAGTGGGTGGAGGTCCATGATTACTTACGTCCTGAAGAGATATGGCATATAAAAGAAGAATTCTTCATCTAAAAGGCCGCTTTCAATGAAGTAGAGAAGTAGGCTGTTTCATTAAAACGCAGAAATACTGCCGAAAGTTGATGTGATGGCCACGTTCTTCTTTTGAGGTTTTATTGTTTGTTTGGTTTTGTTTTTTATCTTTTTTTAAATATCACATACAAAAATATTCGTGATATAAAGAATTCAAAGCTACAAAGGAAAATCTGTTCTAATTATTTTCTTGTAAAAAATAAAAATTCAAGAAATTGAGCAAATTTAGAGAGAAAAAGATTTTTTGTCAGAAATCGGGAAATGTGTTTTGTCATGTTCATTGGATTTCAATAAAATAATAAAATAAATAATCTACTATAATGTTTGGTGTGTCAGGTAGTGTGAATGCGATCCAGGTTGGCTTGGGTTCGTGCAACGGCGGAAAATATTAATAACTCGTTTTATGCACCCAAGATGGATCACACTAACCGATTTTCTAGGCTATCAAAAGAAGCAAGAAAGCATCTGATTGGTAGAAATTAATACTGTATCTATTTATTTTTTTTTTTTAATTATTTATTCTTGCTGGAAGATGTGCGTCGAATCCTATGTGCAGAGACAAAATCTTATTTTGATTACTGTGTTTCAGGCTATCACATCCAGTTGCTGTTTAAGCTACACTGCCCGTACTGTGTTATCCATGGATGGATGCTCGTTTTCCGAACGTAAGACCTGGGTTCGAATCTCATCATGGTCGATTTGTCAAGGAGGCGATCTTTTGATATTATCGGCCTGGGGATGCAATCCTAATGTGCGGCACATTTGGAAAGTACCTAAAAACCATACCACTGGTTGACTCAAGCCTTGTGAGTAAAATTGGATAAACGTAACTCTTCGGAACTACCGTTGATGTATGTGCTAGTCACAATTCACCTTAACCGAGGGTTTGTTGAACGTACTAGCGGTGTCCAAATTGTTGATCACACCAGAATAAGCACTCTCTCCCAGGACTGTAACCCAACATAGTTGCAATATAAACAACATGTGGACTCTAAACACACATGTACCTGAGCAGACATCTACAACAGACATTGGTTGGCCATCGTAACAGACGGGTGTGCTTAGAAACGAGTAGCCAGCCATTGTACACCTGTATTTATGTATTTATTGAATTCCCTACACTTTAAAACCTGTATAGCATAGTATCTTATATAGACATCCACTAGGCTCTGCCCCTATAAACAACATTACTGAAGTGAAGAGTCATACAGTAAAATTCCTTTTTTGAACATACAGAAAAGTTTGTTTTTGCTATTATTTCGGGATTTTGCAAGCTCTTTGTTCTTTCAAGGGAGATAAATGAGGTGTAAGTTAACTAATAATTAAGCAGAATTTAAAAAAAAAAAAGAAGAAAAAACTAGTATAATTACAGAAAGAGAAATTACTAAACATTTTGTAGGAAGTATGATCAGTGTATATATTGTGTTTTCGCGTGTGTTTATGTGTGTGTGTGCGCATACACACACGCACACGCACACACACGTGTGTGTGTTTCCAAAAGTTTTGTCACTACGACAGCTTTTTAAAAATTCTAAAAATGCCAGCCTGAGAATTTAGCACGATGAATGATATAATAAAATGGAAAAATCTTCAAACTGCTCGGGCTATGACGATGCACTACATCCGCGTCCTGGATAAGGCGATAAACTACATCCAATAGCAAGGCCTCTGATCAGGAGGTTTTGAGGAGCGTGAAACCACCTCTTAATTGCTGGTGTTCCTAGGCCCGCCTTGATCCGGGGTGGTAGCACCTGTTAGGATCTCAGCTATGGGTAAATAGTTGAACCCCCCACTCCAAACTGGGGTCAAAACACTATGAAAATGTAAAAATAGGTTTTTCATACCAGCAATACTATTTTGCAAAATATTATTACTAGTAATGAATTTTTGAAGGAAAAATTATTACCAGCAATACATTTATGAAGGAAAATTACCAGCAGTACATTTATACATTTTTTGGGAAAAAATATATTACCAGCAATACATTTTTGGAAAAATTATTGCCAGCAATAAAAATCTTGTCAGCATTAAATAACCCATTGAGGTTGATATGCTGTAAAACAAAACAAACCGAATCAAACTTCTCGGGAGAAAGGTTCTCTAAATTTCTCTGTACATTTGGTAAAATATGACACATAAGAAGATTAAGCTGTCTTATTTACAAGTGTTAACCACAATGTGTTCTATAATAAAATATTTAAAAAAAGAAAACATTAAAAAAAACAAACTATCAAATAGATAATAAGAGAAAAACTAATTTAAGTTGAATAAGAATCTTGACTCTTGGTTCTTGTTCTGGTTCATTTACATACTGCCAGCTAGATAAATTTATTTCCATCGAAACAAAATCTATTTTGAAAGTTTATTATTTTATCATTCGACTGAAAATTTATAGCATTTAAACTTAAACATAACCAAATTTTACCTAAAGTTGTTTAAAAGGGCAACAACATCGGTAATACAAGAAAAGAATAGATTTTTTTCTCTTTGAATTTCTGGGATGAGGAATTATCATTATTTACTCTTTTGCATGTGGACTGTTGTCCTTATTTCTTATTATCACAACTTTTCGGTTGTTGTATCCCCGGCCTTCATCAGGTGTATGTCAATTCAAGTAACCTAAAGGAAATTTCAAAATGATCCCTTCTACGGGGATAGATTGTTATCGCTTAATTGAATAATTGTGCAGTAGTAAAATAAAATAAAAACTAGACGACATATCTCTTGACATGGGCAGTAGAACGAGAACAATCTACCCGGAGAGAAAGTGTTTAGCTGGATCGACATGCACAACGGAGAGCACAACAGCTGAAACATTGTGATAACAACAACCAAGTTGGAGACAATAGTCCGTAATGTATATAAAAGAGCAGGTATTGTTGATAATTTAATGATATTTTAGGCAAAAAGGATGGATATTGTTCACTTATTTCTAGATATATCATCGTAATTTTTCAAACGATAATTTAATTATCTGGTGAACAGGTAACACTAACAAACAGTAACACTAAGTCTCCAAAGATTTTTTGTTCTTTTATTAAATATTAGTCACTAATATTTAATTCTAAAAACATATTTTTCAATAGATATAAATTAAATATGCAGAAAAAATAACAGTGAAAGAAAACTCCATAAATTAAACAACTCGTTTATGAAAGAAATATTTATCAATAATTTACACTGGCTGGCAATACTTCATCTAATAATGATAAAATTTATAATTAATTTAGTCTAAAGGAAAATACAGCCTACATATCAAAAACATTCTAAGAGATTTCTTCAGTATTTTATCAGACCAAAATTATTCTTTTAATAAATTTGTTAAATTACACATGAAAAACCTTTTTACAAGGTTGCCTAAATTATTCAAAACAAGGTTTTAAATTCTCACATAACACGGTTTGTGATGTCAGAAAACTATCAGTCATTGCCTAAAGTTGTTTTTTTAATTAGTTTATCCAAATGAAATAATTAACAAGAATATGAAGTTGCGATATATGTGTGTAAATGCTGACGTGTAAAGAGGATAGAATAAAAAGATTTCAAAATGAAGTGGGATGATGACGTAAGGGATAATGGACGAAGTTGAAGAATCGTGGCTTCTGGCCAAAAAAGCAGAGGAAAGCTGTATGAGACCAGAATGAAAATGAGATGTGGATACTGAGTGTGTGTGAATTTGTTTCTGACTTTGAAAAAATAAATAATCGAATAAAATGTTACTGAATAATTCCACAAGTTTTATTTCTGTTATATTTCTCTCTACTTTTTTTTTTTAAATGTGTACCATTGTTTTAATGAACTCAATGATCTGCGCCCCAGTTGAAAATTTTCGTGCCGAACAAATCCGTAGAACGGAAAGCGTTGCCTGCTTGGAACAAAATCACATGATATAAATTATGAATCGACACCGTTCTCTTTGACGCCATCACCTTACAAATAGCAAAACTAATGCTACGATAGTTTCATTTGTTAAATTGTTTCTTTTTTTTTTTTTACTAAAGTCTTTTCAAAGTAATGGTGAGTTTAGATTGTTGTTTCTATTTACATCAAACTCCTATCTAGTCAGAGACAATTTAGTTTTAAATAGTTTTAATTTTGCCAGTAAATCACTTATAATCGACTGTCCTCATGAGATTTCAGCCGGTGTGAACGAGAAAAAAAAAGATTTCTGTTATTGTTTCTCTCGCTTTTCCTCTCGTGTGGGTTCGAATCCCACTGGTTCGCCCGTGTAAATAATACTTTTAAGTTGTTATTTTTCTTGATGACATATTTATTTTATTCAGCATTTAATGTTAATTTTAATTTAGTGTTCTCTAATCGTGTGTAACTAAATACTTATTTGAGAAGTGAAAAAGTTCCGTTTTTTTATGTTGAAAAGTTAAATATTTGTGATTTATATTGCTTATTCATTTATAAACTAAATTTTTAAACAAACCTCAAAGCATTTAGATTATTACTTTTTAACATTATTGATCAGATTCATTTATAAGGTTTTTATTTATTTTTTAAATTTGTCATTTTCTTTACTAATTATTGAATATCGCAAATATTTAAAATTGCTCTACAAATCGATGCGATTTGTTTCCAAAGAAAAACTGTCTCAACATGTATCACCAAGCGAACAACAACAGAAATTGAATTTTTGTCTTCCCATACTACTTAAAAACGAATCTATTGTTCTTTTACTATTTTTTTAAAATTTGTACTCAAAACGCACTTATTTGACGCTTCTGTGTGTAATAATGGTCAATGAGCTTAGTCCGATTGACCATTGCTACTGAGTAGTGTTCGATCCACACAAGGTAGCGATACCAAACTAAGCTGAGTTAATAACTAACAGGACGCTTCAACGTGGGGCAATAGTCAGCAACCAAGACCTGTAGATTATTAGTTGTGTTCGATCCTTACCAGGTGCCTTATACATATGGCCTTGTGCCAAAGCTAAGGCCCACTCAGAAAATAAATTTAGGGGTCGTGAACTAGCCTGGTTGACGGCTACTAAAACTAGTGATTTTAGAACCCCACTGAGTGCTCCATACTTGTTGCCTTAAGTTAAGCTGCCCTTTTTCCTAGATGCTCAGTTTCAAGTAGCCTTTTTCCCAGGCAGAAACTCAGCTATTGCACTTAGTCCCAGTTGCCTGAGGTGTCCCCAAGGGAATCTGAGCAATTTTTGCTTCTACCCATCTTGTATGTATGTTGGAGGACTCATTAAATATATTATTAAATAGAATGTGTGTCAAATTTTCTCTTGTACAGATAAATACCCAGAATTTAATTATTTTAAGACAACTTGCATATTTTATGATTGCATTACAGTTTTATGCACTTATTTAACAAATTCACGTAAATTGATTTTTACTCTTTAACTATATTAAAATTGAATAATCTTGAATATATTTAACATTTAAATAATTATCAACCAAACTGCAATAATATTCATCCCTCAGTATATTTCATTTTTTTCATATGAATTCCACTCTAATTGCCATAATTGTCAACAACAAAAAAAGCATTTCTTTACAGCATTCATCATCATTAAAAAATGTTCAATGTTTAGAGGAAAATAATTAAGTTTTCCTTGACATATTTTTTACCAAAAAGATGAGTGTTATTAAAATTTAAATTTATATTAATTTATAAATGATAATTAATTTTCAATTATGACACAAAAATGTGAAAATAGAATCAATCTAATAAGAACTTGCTTAAAAAATACTTTAAAAGTTTAAATAATTAAATATCAATTAACTAAAAAAGTCCCATGTATATCTTCAAAGAATAAGGACAAAATTTTTGTGGCACAAACAAATTAATTTGATTTTTAAACAAAATTCAGGCTGAATTCATTTCACCCCAGAATCTCAAAAAATAAATGTTTCAGTATTAATATTTGAATGCAAATGGGCAATATCAACTTTTTTATTGTTTCCTGACAAGCCTATAAGAAATGGCTCTGAAGTAAAAATTACATCAGAATCTGTATTTGAATTCAAAGACATGTTTAGAGGTTTTATAGTTTATTATTTTTTTATTAATCATATTCAAATAATTGGAATCAGATTTTTATGATCCCTCTGCTTCAACAACTTGTTGAAGAAAACTGGAAAAATTCTTAGACACTTATTTGCTGATTAAATCTTGTATTTTGCTTCTTTTTTTTCCATCTTTTAATTTCCCCAAATCAGACAATTCTTCTTGATTTTTTTCATTATTTTATTTTTGTACTCCCAAATGTTAAAGCATACTTAAAATAATACAAAATAGACAATGATCAGGTGGTGAGGATGATCAACTAGGAACGATACAAATACTAAGGACTTGACAAACCAGAATCAGTCTTAGTGACTAAATAACAAAATTCTCTGTGACTTTGAGACACAAACACATCAATCATTTATAACCACAAGATGAGAAAAAGGAGAATTAAATTTGTCAAATAGTGGATTTCACTATTCCAATAGACAAGGCAATATAAAATTAAAATTTGAAAAACTGGATAAATATCTGAACTTGATCGTTGTGTCTGTTGCTAGAGCATTTGAGATCTGTAGCAAAAACAATGAAAAAATGTTAGAAGAGGTAAAAATCAGAGGAAACACAAAAATATCCAGACAATAGGATTGTTAAAATCAGCTGTGATGCTGAGAAGAGTGCTAGAGTTTTGAAGAGACTCATTTTCTCTCACTCCTCAAATAACTTGGCAGAATATATGGGGGGAAAAAAAGTAGAAAAGAATCTTCAAAACATTTGTTCAAGAAAACTTCACTAATTCTAAGTAAATATGATTTGAAAAAATCTAAACTTACAAACTGTTAAAAATTTTAATATATTGGATTTGTGTTAAATGTTTATATATGTCAGCATTCTTGTGAGAAGTAACCTTGTGGTTACTAACAACTTCTCCACAAAAAAAACAATTTGCAGTAGCCTAATGTAGTATACCAATTCTCTTATTCCCTGGGAGAATGCATCTATGGTGATAACAAAAACATCAGCATGTATTGTTTACATTAAAACATTGTCCTGTCACCTCTTCAAGAATCATAGATAAACATAGAACACAAATTACTGGCACTACTTCTAATTACCATGAGATTATGGTAAACAAAATATTACTTTGCCAATCCAAGTGGATAAAATAAATATTTAAAATTTTTAGAGGTTGTTTACATCAAGAGACAGAAATCCACTATAAATGAAATTTATTTTAATCTTGGCATGCATGTGTTAAAACCTCTTTAAACTATGAGGTCACTTTTAGCCACATGATGCTAAACACTATTGTAACATTTGAATCCACATACATTTCAAATTCTGGACAAGTAAGAACATAAGCACTCCATTCACTATCACTTGACTTCTACAGTCTTACCTTGAAAACGATGGTCAAATATACTCTGAACATTACACTTAATTTTGGAAAGTTCATTTGCAAGTTTGCACATGGCATCAAACAACTTGTTCAACACCAGAAGAAACTCAGAAAAAGTCTCAAAAGTTCATTCTATTTAATAGAACATGTTTAAATGAAAGGTTGCTATCTAAATATACTATGTTTATATTGAATGTTATGAATTATAAGAATATTAAGACTTTTATATTTTTGATAGATTGAAATTATATAAAAGTATTTCAGTAATTTTATAATGAGCTGAATTCATGGTACTCCCTTTCAAGCAATTAATATCATAAAAAATATAGTTTCACAACAGAAAGTGAAACCATTAATCAGCTTTTCCCCAAACCTCCAAAAATCTGTATGTATTTTAATTAAAGTCTATTTGAATCCAGTGACAAAATAAGTCAGTATTGTTGAAATTATACAGGTATCTTTTCTGGCTACTGTTTTTATTTTAATAATAGACGTTAAAAGAAGTAGTTAACCTTTTCCTTTAAATAAATAAGAATATCACGAATTAAAATAAGATTTCGTATTATGAATCTTTTACTCCAGTGTCGTAAGTCACAGTATTAAAATTATTTTAAAAACACTATAATAATAATTATTGCTCTTTTTGTCTAACTTATCGAAGCATGTCATTAAAAAGCGTTCATTTCCAACCCAATAAAAATACAATTATTTATGTTTGTCTTCTAAATACCATTTGTATGCCATGATCTTTAGTTTTTGTAACTTTTGCAAAATAATCATTTCTGATTTATATTCTGCAGAATAACTGAATTTCAAAGAAAGAAAAATCTGAAACTGGATCATTTTATCATGTAGAAATCCTATAAGTTCACCTAAGAATAAGATATATTACTGAGAACTTAACTGCTGTTTATAGTAAATATAATAGAAATAAGAATGAAGTATTAAATTTAATTTGAGTGTTCTTGTACGTTTATGATGTTGATGTTTAATGTATTTTGATCTACAAATAACTTTTGTCATTGTGCTGAATGATCTGTTATCATATTCTCATAATAAACTTTAAGTTTCAACTAATGAAAGTAGATGTGTTGTCCTTGCAAAATATATGTAATTACTCTCACTTTATATAAAAGCATTTTCATTATTAACAAGACTTTGTCAAAAAAATTAAAATTTCATCTGAAATAATTATTGCCATTAAGTTAATAGCTAGCTGAATAGAAAAGAAATGCATATTTTAAAAACCTTTTTGCAGTTTTAATATTTCAGATTCAAACCCAAATCAAGAGAAAAGATTTCTTTTTCATAGCATTTTCAGAATAAAAAAAAATGTATTATTTTAAAATACAGAAGCATTCCAAAGAAATTTTTATGTAACATGTGGCATTTTTTTCTAAATATTAACATTCTTCTAAATAAAAGGACATATTAATCTACATAAGAGAATTGTAGTTTCTAACAAAAATTAATTTTTTATAACAGAAATTTCAAGAATCTTAAAATATATTTTTTCTTTCTTCATTTAATTAAAAATTTCTCCATTTAAACATAAATAAAGTTAGATAATGTTTCCACATGTAAGGAGTAACCAACAGTTAGCATTTTTATTAAATTTTAGGCATTCTTAATGAAATTCTATTTTTTTTATTTTAAAATTTATGGGTTACATTTAAATGGTATCCGCAAATATATATATATATATATATATTGTGTGTGTAAAACCAGAAGAGTTCACTACATAAAGGTTGAAAAGCTTACAGCCATATCAAGTTGATACACTGGTTCTCATACAGACAGTGAAGTTAAGCCATGCTGAGCTTGGTCAGTACTTCGATGAATAACCTCTTAGGAATATCAGATGCTGTTAAGCCTGGATGTGCAGGTAGTATAATTGATAATGACTCAGAATTGGAAATTGGAAGTTCCAATTCTAGTCAGATTTGTTATATCCACTTACATGCAAATACTCTTGGGAACAATATGAATCTACTTCTTCTCTCAGCTATGGGTTAATTAGTAGAATTTCTATCAGTATTATCTCCCACCAAAATTCTTATAATATAAAAATATTTTTGTTTTTTTAAGTAGCCTACAGAAGGTTGATAAACCGTAAAAAACAAATAGATCAATCATTCAAAGACTGACAAGTTTTTCATCTTTGTGTATTTATCATGACTTTGTGAGAACAGAAGTCAAAATCAAAAACAATAATTTATGTTTTAAATTTTTGGTAGCCAGATTATTTTTAGTGTGTGCATACACACACACACACATATATTAATACAGATTACCAAATAACTTCATTAAATAACACATATATATATATATATATATATATATATATATATATATATATATGGTTATTTAATGAAGTTATTTGGTAATCGATATTAAAGTTGTCAGTTTCTTAATATATATATATTTATATATATATATATATATATATATATATATAGATAATAATTTTACTGTACATATAAAACTTAAATATTGCCATCATTTTTTATGGTATGACTAAACACTTGTCTAATGGATGTGTTCAGATGTTATATTCTTAATGTAGTATTGTATGCAAATTAGATAGACAAATATAAATAGAGAACAATTGGCGAATATAGGGGCTATGCCTAGCAAAGCCAGTTGCTATTCAGGACGTGGAGAACTTTACTATGACTTACTACTATGCAAAGATATATGCAAAACATAACACTTTGATTTCTACCTAACATTTTATATACTCACTCTATTCCCCAGAAATTAAACTTTTATTGATGTGTTTCTTCCTAATATATTAGGAAGGGCTACTGTAAAGTTCCCATCCCAACCCACTTCTCAAAATCTGACTAAATGAACAGACATTAGAACTTTTAAAAATGCATTCTTTGCTGGACTGAGAACTATTCAGCATCATATTGCAAATACTTGTATACATTCTCTACTTATTAATATATTCTTCTTTTAATAAAATGTTATAAGAATTTTCCACTTGTAACAAATATTAAGAATTTAAGATTCTTTTGTTCTAATGCACAGATTCATGTTGCTTTCCTAGAAATAATGAGTGCATTTGCAAATAGAATGTTCTTTAAGTTTCTAGTTCTGATGTTCAGTAGTTTGTATTATGTAGTTAGTAAGACTCAAACTAAGAGGAAGAAAGTTCTAATCTAAAAGAAAAAGGAGGTATCAGTTGTTTCTTTGACTATTGTACATTATAAAACTGCCAAAACAAGTTATGGAAGTTTTTTATAAGATATACAAAACTATATATATATATATATATATATATATATATATATATATATATATATAGTTTGGAAAAACCTTAGGTATTTTGTCTTGTAATTGAACAAACCAATGCCCTAGGGAAAATAAGGGATAAAAAAAGAAAGAACTAAGACCATGAAATTGAGGCGAAAACAATCATCCAGAGAGTCCAAAGAAAAAATCCTCCAAAACGAGTAAAGCAGAAGTAACTACATAAAGTGCTCAATACACTAAGTAGAGCAAACCAAAATATGAACCTAAAGAGCCAGGTAAACCCTGATGATCCGTAGAGGTGAGACCTAGGTAGGTTTACCTGGCTCTTTTAGGTTCATATTTATATATATATATATATATATATATATATATATAGTTGTATATTTAGGCAGCAATCCTTCCGTTATGCATGTTTCATTAAAAACGACAGACAAGTACTACAGTTGAGCTTTTTATTTAATTTTTCTTGTGTTCTGACGAGCTTTCTTTTCTGGACAAAGGGTGTGTAAGAACTGTCCGAATGTTTTATATTTCCGAGCGCTTTCGGCTATACCTTTAGCCATTATCAAGGATGATTCGATTATCAGCTTAGTTGAGTGTGTGCATTCTGTGTATGTATCAGTGTGTGGTAGTGATGTTTTTAATTTCCGAATACGGTTAGCACATTGTGGCTTTGTTCATAGTTAATATTGTTAAGAGTTGGCTTTTTTTTTATTATTATTTATTTCTCACAAAGTCATGATATATATATATAGTTTGTATATCTTATTACGTTACACCTATCTGATCACAGCTCGATCAGAACACATTTAAATAGATTTACCCAACACCATTAGGAACATACTAGTAGAAAACACAAATATATTAACTGCATCCACTTGCAAAAAAAGACTAAAAATAATGGAAGCTCTAATAATAAAAAAAAAAGTACACTTGGTGGTTCTGCTATGGTTTCAGTAGCAAGTAGGAGGAGAAATTGCTAGACCCTTGCCCAAACAGTTGAATTCAGAGTTATCCTTCTCCTGAATTGTTTGACACCTAAAGTTAGAGAGCTCAGTTAAAAAGGCATATTTCCTTTGAGTTAAATAACCCAAAGGAAACATGCCTTTTTTTCATAGGCATTTGTGTGAAAGTGAATACAACAGCCTCTGTTTCAATTTGAACTCAGCTTGTTGATCCGACTTTCTATATGCATCCATATTCTGAATATTACAAATAATTATTTTGGTAAAATTTTTCAGTTGTTGCCATGTCAAATATCCTGAAGCGTCTAAGTTACATGGACTTTCCTGAATGCACACAGGAAGCCCTCCATTATTTAAGTCGATGTCTGCGGAAAGAGGCTGGCAGCATCCCTGGTCTTGGAGGTGGCGGGGAAGATTATGCTGTAGAAGTTTCCAGAGATTTCATTCATTTTGCACGCAGTCCAAAGGTGAGAGCAGTTTTTATGTTTTTTTTTTTAATATTATTTTTGTTGGTTATCTTTTAGTTTGAGATACAGACATTTTCTTCATTACAATAGAAATTTTCATTTTTGTTTTTTTAGCTTAATCATAATATATATTTTTGTCCATTATATTATAACTATACATTTTATATATTATATATACATTTAAAATTTTGAGTAAGACCACAAAATAATTCCATTTTTGTTATTAAATGGCATTAGGAGAATTTATGTGAAACTAAGTTCAAAAAGATTGATTTTGATTGGATTGTGATAAATGCTATATCTTTAAATATGTTGTCAAAATTTTTGTTTATTGATTCTGACACTGAAGATGGAAAAATAAATAACATTTTCAGCATATTATACTTATTTAAGAAAGGTAAAAATGCAACTGAGAGCAAAAAAAGTTTTGTGTAGAGAGGATATCACAAATGCGTAATCACATCAAAAGTATTGTACTGGAGATTTCTTACTGGTAAACTAGATGAGATTAATAAAAATCAAATAATGATATTACTTAAGAAAAACTAACATGATGTGATATGGGCGAGAGTCATCATAAAATGTTAAATCAGTTATTGAAACTCTTGCGCTGGCCTGTTTATATTATATGTAACTTCCACATAAGTAAGGAGAATCTACTGGACTGTATTTCTCTGTGACTTAAATAAAAATGTTTTATTTTTTAATTAAATTATGATTGATGATGAAAAGTGGATATTTTAAAATAAGTTGAAACACAATTGTCAATCAAGTGAAAAGAACCATCACTAACTATATCAAAGGCCGGTTATCATTTAAAGAAATTGATGCTATGTGTATGACAGGATTGGAAGGGAGTTCTTTATTATCAGTTTGTAGCAAGAGACAAAATGTTATCTTCCCTTCACTAAAAAATAGCAATAAATATTAACTACTAGCAGCATTGCCCAGCATTGACTGTACTTGATTAAAAAATCATACGACTCATACAGCAATCGCTATCACTTGACTTAAAATATTTTTGCCCTTCTTTGCCTTTAAAGGAGTGCACTTTGCCGTGCTGATGTTGCTACATGCCTTACTTCTTGCCTATCTCACACTGCAAATTTTTTCTAAGCTCTATACTAAACATTAAATCTGTTACGAAAAAAGAACTAAACAAAATGAACACAAAACGATCAGCTTTAAAAAAGGACTCGTAACTGGAAAAACTGAATGAAAAAAGAATATTAACAACATATACTTTTTTACACCCAACCTAGTTCTGCAGAATCAGAATCAATGTTGAGTTTAAGCAAGCGAATGAGCCAATTGGAGTAAAGTACCATACAGATTTAAATTTTTCCCACTTGTGACGAATGCAGCTATCGATTTTTTTTGCATGCTAGTTAACATTCGTGTCAGTAAGCTGTTGGCTCTCATGCTGGCCAATAGAATCTTCCTGCCTATTCGTGACAGCCAGCTATAGGGTCTCACTCTGGCCAGTAGAAAATGGCAGCAAACTACGTGAAAACTGCCATAGAAGCATGAAAAAATCGATTATTTCCACTATCGATGGGAGTTGGGAAATGCATAGTCAGTCTTGGACTTCCTGCTAACTTAGAGCATGTGCATGTAAATTTTGGTGCAAATCCGTTGAAAATTGCAGCCGTGCATTCGTTACATGCACACACACACACACACACATCCTACCTTTTATTTATTTATATATATATATATATATATATATATTGTATTGAGCACTTTTTTATTATTTTAGCTGTTGGTAGGTAGAGCTTTACCTTTGATTGTGGTAGATGCTATTTTCAGTACCCTAATTATTTTATTAGATGCTTTTGTCAGTACCCTAATTATTTTATATTCAATGTTTTGGGTGCTTTTTTTAAGCATTTCACCTCAAGCAAGTCAGAAGTGCCATTATCACACAGGGGAGAGTGAAAATGAGAGAAAAGAGTGGGTGTAGGGGGGGATTGAAGAAAGGAAAAAAGAACAGGTATCAACGCAACAAAACATGGTGACTGATGTTGCATTTAGGTTTTCGATGATTGTAGTTATCAGGGAAGCAAGTGAGAAGAATGGAGTTCCAATATGGAGAAGTGCGAGGAAAGAAACTGTTAGAAGGGCGGTTACATTTAACTATTTCAATAGTAAAAGTTGGGACCTAGATGCCAATCTAGTACTACACTTAAATTCATGTAGTCAGGGCACCAGGGAAAAAATGCTCATCAGTGCAGTAACCATGAAAATATTTATAGAAAAGACAGAGGGAAGCCACATCACATCTGTGAGAAAGCGGCTGAAGTCAAGAAGCTAATTCAGTACCGATTACATTACAGATCCTACTTTAGATTTTTTTGAGAATATTGCAGTAAGGGAAGGTAGGGGAAAATTTTATGGATAAAACTTTAACTGTGCAAGCAGTAATAAAAATCACAGAAATGCAATCTATGTTGTTATTCATTTAAACATCATCATTTAATAGTAATAAAAAAATATATATATAATATATTTAAAGTAATAATAATAGTAATAAAAGTAATAAAAATTAACTATAATGTAAGTATATCCATGACATATATAAATGATTAAATACATCTATAAACATATATATGTATGTATGGCACACATATAAAAAAAAGAATAATATATATATACATAGATAGATACATAGACAGATAGCAGATACACACATATACAATACACACATACATATATACATACATATATATAAACTTACATAGTTACAAACCTAATATATATTTTTCAGTGTTTGATGCAAAATTGAAAAAATCGATTATTTCCACTATCGATGGGAGTTGGGAAATGCAAAGTCAGTCTTGGCCTTCCCGCTAACTTGGAGCATGTGCATTTTGGTGCAAATCCGTAAAAAATTGCAGCCGTGCATTCGTTATACACACACACACACATCCTATATATATATATATATATATATATATCTCTCTCTCTCTCTCTATATATATATATATATATATATATATATTGTATTGAGCACTTTTTTATTATTTTAGCTGTTGATAGGGAGAGCTTTACCTTTGATTGTGGTAGATGCTTTTGTCAGTACCCTAATTATTTTATATTCAATGTTTTGGGGTTTTTTTTTTTTTTTTAAGCATTTCACCCCAAGCAAGTCAGAAGTGGCATTATCACACAGGGGGTTATGGAGAGTGAAAATGAGAGAAAAGAGTGGGTGTAGGGGGCATTGAAGAAAGAAAAAAAGAACGGCTGTGTTTATGTCGGCTCTGGTTAGCATCATAGTCGGTTGGCAATATCTTTTGGTTGATGACTAAAAATTAATTTCCGCATTTTGACTGTATTCATGGGTTTCATTTGGACACCATGTGTATTTAAAGTAGTTTCCAGTTATTATTTTTAGTTAGGAGGACTTGTGTATGTTTAGGTTTCATTTGTTTACTTTTTGTGTATCGTTCTCTGAAAAAAAACGCTGAGTCACTGGAAGTTAACGACATTCGTTCTGTTTTCCGCGGTGACGCTTTCAGACATTTGAGTAGCCAGCAGTAACTTCTGGCCGGGTGCGATACACTTACCCGTGCTTTCAAATTGTTTTTGTGCAAAAGCAATTGTGTTTTTCCAATTTTTGGCACTGTCAGAACCACCGCCAGGTAATTTTACGTAGTCCTGTGAAGTTTTGTTGAAATCGGTTGAAAAATGTAGGAAATACAATCCCATATATAAACGAACAGAGACACACACACACACACACACAATCTGCGTTTTATAATAAGTACGATAAACAGTCATGTGATCTAACAAGACCCATACAAGAAATCATTAGGCAGGAAAGTCAATCTTTCTCTTTTTGCTCCTTGAACTTATTGAAACAAGAAACACAATTTTCAGGCTCTTAACAACCAAACAGATAAATAATAAATTTATACGCTTTTTGGTACCCTTCTATTGCAAGTACATATATACAAATTTTGTATTAATAATTTCAAATATAAAATATGTATATGCAAGTATTTTTTTATGAAGACATTTGTGTTTTGTTTGAACTATTCTTTATTTATGTTGTATGTTTCATACGCCTTGAATTAGTTCTATGCCGTATATACTCACGCAACAAATTTGAATTAATATTTATTGTTACTTTCGTTTTGGTCAAGGGGAGATAACTTTCGTCTCTTTTTACATTTTCCTTTGATAGACGCAGCTGATTTATTTGGACTTGTTTACAAAATATTATATGAATAAACTCTATGCATTTGGTGTTGTATTATTAATAAATTGTAAAATAAATGAATTAAGATATTTTAGAAATTTATTAGCCTTTCAAAATTTCTCAACCATAGTCTGACTAATTCCATATAATCTAATACTTCCAATATTCGATATTCACTGATGACAAGATGTTTTTTTAACTTTACATCTTTCAGAGACTGACTGCCATTCAAGAACTGCAACTTTTGGAGATTCTTTGTTCTTATATTGCTGAGCAAAGAGAGACTGAACGAAATGCTGTATTTGGAATTATGTTCCACGGGGAACCAGCTTTGCTCAAAGTGAACCTGCTCACTAAAATTGTTTCCATGGCAATGTCTATTCGATGCACACCTGTGCTTGATTGCACTGCTCTTTGGATGCAGGTAAAAGTCTCATTTTTCATTTTTTGGCATCAATTCTATTTTGTATATTTCTCAGCTATTCATTCAGGATATATGAGATTTTCTCATTCATATTCATACTAATATCCTCATCTTTGTGATTATTACAACAATGTTTCAGCTTTTCTACCCTCCAAGCCTTCTTCAGGTATCTGCCAATCCAGGTAACATTTATTTTAATAACCTAGTGAATCAAAGCATTGGTTTGTGAATTTGGGGATATAGTTATTTAGAGTTAAGTCCCTGATCCAGGCAGTACAGATATAGACTCACTGGAAACAGGGGAAGTAATAATTGATCACTACTAAATAAGAACTAAAGATATCTCTAGGCATGAACAGCAGAATGAGAACAATCTACTGTTCTAAATTAGAGAGTGGAATTCAAAAATTGCCTATGGGTTGCCAAGATTGACAGATATCATTGTGATAATAACAACAAAAATGAGGACATTAGTTAAGTGTAAAATATTTCAAATAATGAAAATTCCTCATCACAGAAATTAAGACAAAAATGTGGTTTTCTTGAGTAAAAGTTTACAAAAAAGTAAGAATTGTCAGAAATTAAATATACTTTTAATAGTAGCACTAGTATTTCTAGTGACCGAGGCACTTTATGTGTTCTCTGCATGCCCACAATCACTGTAAATATACACATGGCATTATAACAAAGTGTTGGAAGTGGTCATGAACTTAGTACACATTGTGAAGTTCAACAAACAGCCTGTAACGGCCAGAAAACCTAAGACCCATTTTCATAAGGAAGTTGAATGCCCTGTGTGAAAGACCCAAATAACTCTCAACATGATACTACCCATGATTGGATGGTGTTGATCTTAAAACACCTCTGCAATTTCTGGTACACATCATTCAGACAGACGCACACCCTGACATTGTAACATGGTCTGATTCAAAGAAGTGTATCCTAGTAGAATTAATGGTTCCATGGAAGGAGAACAGGGAAGAGGTACTCAAGTGAAAGAAAAAAATGCTACGAATCCCTGCAATCTGACTGTGAAAAAGGGATGTCATATGTATTTATATAATGTTTTCATTTTCAAAACACGGTCAAGATAGTGTGTCTATGTTCATAGTTGATATTAATTATACATACAACAATCTATTTCTTGTTAACAGTTAATGTTTCAACCTTGAAAATGGCTAAATGTATAGCCAAAAGTGCTTGGAAAGAAAGTACAATTGGATGGTTTTTATCTTCTGAAAAGAAAAATTTATAATATCACATGAGAAATTATATAAAAAAAATAAATCAAAGCATCTTGTCTATCATATTCAATAAAATGTGCATGAAAGAAGGATTGCTGCCTAAATACACACAATATATATATATATATATATATATATATATATATATATATATATATATATAAGAGATTATAATAAAAAATATAATAATAATATATTGCTCTATTCTTTCTGTCTGACACTTTTTTAAAAATAAATGCTATGAATAGTGGATTTTTACTCCATCTTTTCTTTCTCTCATTTGTATATATATATATATATATATATATATATATATATATATATATATATATATATGAGATAATAAGGAACAAATAGGAAGTGTATATATAAATCTAACATGTTTCACTTTTATTAAAGCTTCATCAGAGATTGAGGGAAAAGAGACAAAAAGACAAAAGCGCAAATATTTTCAATTTTGTTTGGGTCAAAATACCAGAGTTTCTGTCTTTTTGTGTGTTTTTCTCTCAATCTCTGATGAAGCTTTAATTAAGTGAAACAAGTTAGATTGATATACATTTCCTATTTGTTCCTTATTTTATCATCCTGTCAGATTCCAATCCCATATTTGATCTGCATTTGATCTTTAACTCACATATATATATATATATATATATAGGATTGTTGTATACGGAATAAATTCCAGTAACCAACAAATACTATTCTTAAAAGAGTGTTCAATACAGAGTAGAGCAAATATAATTATTATAGATTTCCAAGCAATGACAAACTCATGCATGTAAGACACTGGAAATGAAAATCACACCGCAGCTTATGACGTCACCCATGACCACGCGAAAGTGAAAACAAGAAGTATTAAGTATGGGAAGCCATTGGCATAAACCAATGAGATTTATTGACCTTACACTAAACACCTATATTCTGATAAAGAGTTGGTTTTGTCATGGTTTTCCTTCATTTACATGATCACATGTTTCCACATCATTTTCAGTTCCCTGGATTTAGGAATTCAGAGGTTTTCTTCTAGACTTGTTGGCAACCAAGGCTCAGCCTGCCCTACTATTTAACACATAACTGAAGAGAGAAAAGATGGATTCATACCTTTCTCAAGGTTATTTGCACAAAAGTGAATGTGACGAACTCAATTGGAATTCAACTCAATTTGCTGATATCTTGTTCCAAGCCAATTACCATTACACACACACACACACACACACACACACACACACACACATATATATATATATATATATATATACTGGCATGCAAAAATTTTGAGCCACCTTAGTAAATTAAATACTTTTGTTAATTTTACCCTAAAGTCAAGTGTATTAACAAGCATGCTTTTCTCAGTATATTTAAGGATCTTTGCAGACCAGAATACAAGTTACTACATTTTCATTAGTGCTGTATAATGGATGATAGACCATCTTTAAGCATAGAGGTTGAAAAAAGGCCATGCAAAAATACAAAAATTTCACCTTTCAAAAGTTTAACATTTTCATCCACAAGAAACCATTTTCTTACACATGATCTGTGACAAGGAACAACATCATACTGGAAAAAATCTCCATCTTCATAGTTTGCCAGAAGATTAAACTGTTGTTAACTAATATAGTTTTTGTTGTTTAGGCTTCCATCAATGTTTACCAATTTTTTTATGATCCCCACACCAGTAAATTTTACCATCTTTGTAGTGTACCTTGCACTGGTCTTCTTACATTAGAGTGTAATTATTTTGCATTCGTCATTAAAAATTAATTTTTGTCACTTTCCAACATCCCATGTGAGATGGGTTTTTTTAACCAATCTTCTATTCGGAAGTTTTCTGATTAATGATGTTATTTTGCCTGTTCAATTTGTTTACTCATAATACTCTGCATGCTGTATGAACTGAATCCACACTGTTAAGATTGCATTCACTCCTCACTTGCCTAGCTGTTAACTTTGAATTGTCAACCGAGATTCTAATCTTTCTTTCATCTTTCTTCTCTAACTTCTGTAATCTTCCATTTTTTTTCCATTTTTTGGATGGTTTCAACATTGTTTCTGGAAAACCATCAGCCACCTGACTATCTCTTGTTGAGTCATCTTTACCTTCAAACTCACAACCTTCATCTTTGTTTTAGCAGAGATTTTACCCATGATTTCTGTGTAAAAAAGCAAGTTAATATTCAACTACAATGATTTGCCAAGGCACTTTACACTTGTGTTAATAAGATAGAACAATTCCTACTTAAGAATTTGCATATTTATCATGAATTTATCACATCAGATCTTTTATTGGCCCAATAGTTTTGCATAGTCTTTTTTCAGTTTTAAGCAGTGTATCTTCTGTTACACGGCACATATAAAAATGCAACAACTTATTTTCCAATCTTCAAGGTCCACAGATAATACTGATAAATACAATTTTAACTTTTTAATAAAATAATGTTGTATAATCATTTTATGTAAGTTAATCCAAAACTTTTCTACATCAGTGTATATACACCTAAAATTATCATTAGCAAGTGAAGAAGATTTTTTTTGATTTTATAATAACCACAAAAATAATAATACTAGCTGAGAAATAGATGAAATTAATTGTTTGTCACTCATCTCACAAAATTGATGCTGCTGGGCATTAGAGGTTTTAGATAGACTCATACTTGCTCTAAAATGTACAAGGATGTTCAAATATTTTGGGATTGGTCAGAAAATATTTTATAAATTAATTGTGATCTTCTGAAAAGAATAAAATATAAAAAAATATTCCTTTACTCAGGATAATCCTTTAAATAGTTTTAATGTCTCAGATAATCCATTAAGGTGTTTAAATGTCTCAGATAATCTATTACGGTGTTTAATTGTTTTGGATAATCCATTAAGGAGTTAATGCAAAACATCAAAAAGTCATAACAGAAATTCACTTAAATACTTTTTTCCTATGTAACAAATATAATTTTTGCTATCACTGATTGGCTTTAACATAATTAAGTGCAGTTCTCATTACATTTTTGCTTTAATTTTTGTTCTATTAAGGCAAATGACTTTTTGATGCTCATCTGTATTTTTTCTGTTCTCCCTGCCACTGTAATATCCTAATCGCATTTTCCACTTGTTTGTTTTTAACATTTATCCAGGAGCAAGGATGTGACAGTGAACCTGTCCGCTGTATGGCCAAATCTATGGTGAATGATTATTGCCAGTTATTTCCTGGGGTCATCCCAACCTTCCATGCCTTGCCCAGTATCTCACCACTGTTTGCCTGTAATTTTATTGCAGCTGTTACATCTCTTTATCCCTGTAACTGTAAGTTTTCTCTCTCTTTTTTTCTCCCTTTTTTTCATATTTTTCCTTCATAGAAAAAAAATACTTTTGAAGTATTTTTAAAGGCCAGGTTCCCAAAGCAATGCAACTATATTTTATCCTATTATTATGGGTAATGGGATTGTTAGATATATCCATTACAACACCTCAAACAACATATCAGAGCCTCAACTCAGAGCCAAATCTTCAATTTTTATATAAAAGTACTAATATTTATACTTGTTGCACATACTCTGATTAGCAAAGTCTTTAGGATTGAATGAGTATCAATAAAATTTAAAAAAAACATCAGTTATATAATTACATCACATACAGTAGATTGTTTGAGTAGAATGTTTTGTATATATCTGGAGAAAATTAAAGAGAGGAAAAATAGATTTTATTAATTGAATGCTACATAAATTTGAAAACAAAAATTGCTAATGTTTAACCTTCATGCCTGCAAAAAGAAAACCCAAATGTGTGTCAAAGAGACAGTTATTGTTTTGTGTATACAGTAGTAGCAGTGTCTAGGGAATAACCTTCCTTTTGATACACAATTTTTTGCAACCACAGAGTTTATATATTGCCAAAAATAGATTCAGTTATAAAAGTTATAATTGTTATACAATGGTCCTTTTTTCTAAGACAAAAAATATTAAAATGCACCATGAGTTTTTGAACAGTCTATAATGGATCAGATTTTCAGATGTAATGGATTTATCTCTCTGATTAAATATTACTTACACTAACAAAACCCTGGCAAACTTTATATTGATAACTTCTGCTATATCAGATTACAGTCTATATAGATTTTTGGAATGAGATGTTAAATATTCCAATTAATTTGTCAAAGATTCTATTATTCATTAACACATAATTAATTTAGCTTTTCATGTATGTGTTTGTGAATGTTATTCTATCATTAAAAACTAAATTTTTCTCTCACTAATATGTCTATATATACACAAGCACAGTTGTTTTCAAGGAAACTCTCCAATTTTCAGTTTTCACATCTAACTGAGTTTAGTAAAACATTACTATTCAATTTTAAAATGAATTCTCAGTTTTTTAATTTTCTGCTTTTTTGAAATGCCATGCCCTTTCAGATGTAGGCAATCATGACCCACAACATTACTTTTCTTTATTATTTGTGAATTGCTGTAACACCTAAAGATAGTGGAGGGGTTTCCCATTTCTTTCTCCACAATTTGGATTTCAGGGGGTTTGGGGGGGGGCTTTTTTTTTCTAATAATCATTTCACCACAAACAAGGCCATAAAGCTACTAAGATGCAATAGGTTACTGAGGATAAAAGACAATAGAGTGAAAGAAACTGTAACAAAAAAATTAATGAGCAGAAAGGACAATAAAAAGAACAGGATTCAAGGAGACTGAAGACAACAATTGACATTGCATCTAAATTTATGTAGATTGTAGTTGACAGGAAACCAAGAAGCTGGAAAAGAGTTCCACAGGTAAGAAGTGCAGGAGAAGAAACTATTAGAATAGAAGTTACAGTTATATTTAGCAACTTCAACAATAAAATGATTAGTCTTTTTTTTAGATTGTCTGCCACCCAAGACTAGTGAGCTTAGTCTACTCTGCTATTTAACCCATAGCTGGAGGGTAGAAGAAGAGATGGATTGAAGCCTTTCATAAGAATATTAACCTGAAAGAGTATTAACAACAGACTAGGCTGAGATTTGATCTTGACTCACTAATTTCTCTTTCTATGCTGATATCTGATATATTACCCACAATTTCAACTATTTACTATGTGTGTCATTTTCATATGTTTGATTTTGTATTGGGGAATATAAAATGTGAAATAACTTTTGTCCTTCATTGATTTATTGTGGAAAAGCTTTTGAAATTCATCGGCAGGACAAGAAATTATACGAAAAAAAGTAAAAACTTTGTGTGTATAATTTGGTACATTGTAAAACTGTTAAAACTGCATAATTATATTTATGTTAAGAACTTCTCGATAGCATGAATCTCTAAATGGGTGGCTGAAAAATGTTGACATAATCAAAAATGACCACTTGTAGATGGTAAGAAAACATATTGGCTGAAACCTGATGATCACAACAATGAAATTATATGTAGTATAAAATGAAATTGTGTTGCTGCTTTAATTGAAGGTTTTTATTCTCTTTCTTGAAGTAAAAGATTGTGTAGTGGAATCTCCTCACAAAGTTTTGAAGATTGTATTCCATACGAATGTATACTGAAAGATGAAAACTGACACTTGCTTAGTTCAAAATTCTATTTATGGAAACACAATCAAATATTGTACCTGTGCACACATTCAGTATATTTACTTTTGTTGGATCAAAAAGTTATTACTTGTTTGAAATTCAATAATAGCAGTGGACAGAGTAAATTTCTTAGTCTTATTTTCAAATTCCTTCAAACCTCATATGACATTCGAGAAAGAAAGAAAGGGATGGTAGAGAAAGCAATACCACTTTCATGCCTTTAATGTCTTTCTGTGAAATGGTATCATTCATTCATTTGTTCAGTTAGCTGGGGTTCATGGTGATATTCAAGACAAAATAGTGCAATGACTTGACAGTTCCTTCTGCATCAGGAATGTTGAGGTTACTTCATCCCTCCTCTCAGAAGTTCTTCCACCCACTTGTAAAGTCATTGACCTCTGAGGTGCAAGCTCCTAAACCCAAGCTGACAACTCACTGATGACCACTTGGCACAGGTGGATTGGGAAGAGGTGTTCCTCTTAACCGGTTGGGTGAGGAAATCCTTCTGACTATTCCCACACAGTTTAGCCATTAAGTTGATGCCATTAACTGGGGAGTAATCACAGTGCCTATGCAACTCTTTGGAGCCATAAGTGAGAGTTGGATGTAGGCCATGGACCAGTACAATTCCACATGCCAAGTTACCAGAGTAAAACAAGGTCAACATTTTACACTAGATGTTGGACTAAACAATTCACCATTTAAAAAAAAAAAAAAAAAAAAAAAAATTCTTCTTCTTTTCTTCTTCCTCTTCTTCTTTTCTTCTTCCTCTTCTTCTTTTCTTCTTCCTCTTCTTCTTCTTCTTCCTCTTCTTCTTCTTCTTCTTCTAGCCCTTCATAAGGTGTGGGCTGTACTTTTCAGAACAATTTTTTGTATCTCCTTGATGCATGGACTTCCAGGAATCCCTTCAATTAGTCTACTGGAATCTTTTCCAGCCAGTCCTAGGGCTCCAACTACAACAGGGGTTGTTGATGTTCCCATATGCCACATTTTCAAGATTTCTATTTCAAGGTCCTTGTACTTTGACAACTTTTTGAATATCTTCAAAGATACATTGCAGTCAGCAGGGACTGCCATATCAATAAGGAGGCACCGTTTTTGTTTGTGGTCTTTAATAACAATATCTGGCCGGTTGGCCTTGATTGTTCTGTCAGTGTGTATTGTGTAATCCCATAGAATTGTAACAGGTCCTATCTCCGTAACCGGTCTGGGTGGTGTTCATACCAGTTTCTTTCAGTTTTCTTCCGTAGAAGTTGCAGATTTTCCAGTGCAGATATTGGCCCACTCTGTCATGTCGGGTTTTATATTCAGTGGGTGCCAACACCGTGTAACCTGATACAAGATGATCAATCGTTTCTGGATATTTATCACAGAATCTGCATTTTGGGCTGACACAATATTTTAGTATATGTGCTTGATAATTCTTAGTTAGCAAGCATTGGTCCTGCGCAGCAAGGATAAAACATTCAGTTTCCACTTTCAACCCTGCACTACGTAGCCACTGATGGGTATGGGTTTTGTCTACGTCAGCTTGTTTGGTACAGGCAGAGTATTGGCCATGAAGCGGTTTATCTTGCCATCGCTTCCGTAACTGGTCGGTTGCATTCGTCTTAGCTATCTTTTTTAGGTATTTTGCAGTTTCAGCCGGTGTATTGTGCTGTAGTTGCATCTCTATGCCCATTTGAAACTCCATTTTGAATTTGTTGGCTTCTTTCATGACGGAGTAGAGACGCTTACTACTTTCATGTTCCTTGACGCATACCATCATCCAGTCTTCTGTAGTTTCCAAATATCTTTGGAGGCCAATTGTTGTAGTTTTGTAGGACAGTTCTATTATTATTTTTTTTATTATTATTTTTATTATTATTATTATTACTACTACTATTATTATTATTATCATCCTCCTCCTTCTTCTTCTTCTTCTTCTTCTTAATAATAATAATAATTATTGACTTGTATGTTTATGTCACCTGTGATACTGTTAGTAAAATTTCCTATTGCTTTCCTCACAAGGCCCAGTGCTCTGGTTACTATTGGTACAGTCTCAGTCTTCATTCCCCATTTATTATTATTGCTTTAAATGATAATAATAGAAACCAACCAATAAATAAGTATAAAATTATTATCAAATATATGAGAACATTTTATTATTGCTGTTGTTAAAAATATTTGAAAGATAAATAATAGAGGAAGAAATTGACTATTCTGAACCAATAGTAAAAGATAGTATAGTAATATAAAATATACCAACCTGAAATTATTAGCTTCAATAATAAAAATGAACAAAAACTATGGAATTTTTATGGCTCCCTCTCTGCATCACTAAAAGAAAAATATATCATAAAACCCATTTGAAAATTTATTATATGGATATATAATGAATCCTTACAATATATCCCCCTTAAAATGTAAAGACAATATGTCAAATGTCAACCAATTGAATTACTACAGGCCCAGTTAGTTTTTATTATTATTATTATTCATTCACTTGTTGGGTATTCATATCAGTAAAAATTGTACAGTGGAGATCAAATGACTTCAAGTCTTTTCAATACTCCAGCACTTTACACAAAATTCTTTATTATTATTTGAATTCACTGTTTTCATAGCAGAAGTAACTGGTGATGGTTTTCATTGGAGATCAAATGACATCAGGTCTCCTCAGTACTCCAGCACTCTCCTCAGTATTCTTTATTATTATTTGAACTCATTATGTTTTCATACTAATAATAACTGGTGACTTTCAGAGTAAACCAAGTGGCAGCAAGTCAGTACACTACTTGTTAGTATTCTCACTGTTTTCAAAACTGCTGTCATCTGGATAGTCTTGAATCTTTCACTGATTTCCAGTTTCTTCACCTCTTTTACAAGGTTCTTCAGGGACTGTTTCTTAGTGCTCTGATAAACTACTTGTATAACTATAACCATCATGTTCCACAACTTTATCAGCTCCCTAGCAATACAGACATTATGCTCATTTTTATTACTGTTATTATTAATTAATGAGTGAATCTACTGTTATTATTAATTAAAGAGTAATCTGTTCATTTTTTTCCAGCTATTGATGATATACCTCCTGAGACTTTAGTTGAGCATGTCACCAATTGGATATCCTCAGACAGCAACTTGTGTTCAATGTCAATGCACCCTCCATCTGGGGTTGGTAACTATCGGATGTTTACCTATCATGCATCATCTCCCTTTCCAGGCCTGACCAACTGGTGTGTGAAGGGCCCTGTGCTTTGCTTGAAAGCCACAGACAACAACAACAAGAACTGTTGGGGGGAATCTGCTAGCAGCTGTACAAACAGTGGATCTATTACAGGTGGAGCTGGCAGTGGAGGGGGAGGAGGAGGGTCAACAAGCAAACCCCACCAACAGCTTTTCTCTCGTCTGCAGCTAGGTGTCTTGCAAAGTCTCTTGGCCAGTCATGCTGCCAATGGGATCCACAGTAATGGTACCAGTAACAATGGAGCCAACAACACTCCAACTACGACTGGCTCTGGTTCATCCACTCCTAATGCCTCAAACACAGCAGATGATCCATTCACTGCAGCTGATCTAAAAAAGACTTCACAGGAATTGATAGAGATTTGCAATCGGCTTGGATTGTCTCCTGATGATGAGACTTACCTGTGTTCTGTCGAAAGATTAGGACAAATTATCCAGGTTGCACTGGCCAGTGCCACTCTGCGTGCAAGACCAGGTAAGTACTTTGTTTTTTTTTTTTTTGTTTTTTTTTTTTCCAGTTTTGCTTGCTTCTTTTTGCTGCTTAAAATAGATAAAACTATTTTTTTCTCTTTGTAAGACTATATCCTTTCAGGACATAAGCAATCATGTCTCTCCATTTTATTTATTATCTGTGAATTGCCATTAATTCTTGGGTAAGATAATGGAGTGGTTTCCCAATGTCTTGTTTGTGGTTTTAAATTCAGTGTTGTCATTCTTCCCAGCCAAGGGTAGAGGGCTCAGTCTAGCCTGCTAATTAACCTCTAGCTGATGGGAGAAGAGATAGGTTCATGCCTTTCCCAAGGTCATAAAAAATGAAAGTGTATTCAACAGGCTGGAATTTGGACTCAGCTCACCAATTACATTATCCATGCTGTTAACCTTTATACTACGTGCATATTAATAAAACCATGATCCTTGTAAAATGCCTCTTAACTTGAATAATAAATGCTAACTATTGTTAACATGCAAAATTAAAATACAATTTGCAAAATTAAATAAAATTTATTTTTAAACATTTTCGAAATTCAAGGGATACAGATACATCGTCAGCTTTATCCAAGAATTTAATTTCTTCTTTGCTGATTGCTTCCTTTATGATGATGGCATTGATGACTAAATTTGCCACCAGCATGCAGGTTTAGGACTAGAACCTTCTAGTTTCACCAAAACCTGCTCCTAGCATCCATTCCCTATCAAAAATCAGAGTATAAGAAAAGTGCCAATGGCGTGAATTTGTTTAAGGTTGACCTCACCTTGCCAGGAAATGACCCACATGACCTTCCTCTGCAGTACATATGGAATAAGACCTGCAAATCCACTTATGAAACTGCAATGAACTGCCACTGACTGTTATAATTTCTTTTGACACCTTCTGTAGCATGTATATCATGCTTAACCCTCTTCATTTGCTGGTTCCACCATTAAGATCTGATGTAATTTTTCTGTCATTGGGGGTCTTTGGAGTTGGTCTTGCTTAGTCTGGGTTCTCATCTTTGACTTTGCCACCAAGGGTGGCTCTACCAGGAGTTTAGAACTCCCAATGATATTTGCTCTCAGAGTCATTGGATCACACAAACCCCAGCCATCAGAGGTACTAGATAGGATATAATAATGTTAACAATATAACTGTTAAAAAAACAAAAATTGCTGCTTTGTAAGTATATTTCAGTTAATAAAAAATTCCTGCATTTTTTTCTCTGAAAAAGAAATTCAACTTGAAATCAGAAGAACAAAAACTGTTTTTATTTATTTTTCATTTGAAAATGACTGCATGTGAGAAATAACCAGTCATAAAACTTGAATTAGAACTTTGTCTATTTTTGAAACAAAACAAATTTTATAAATCAGCAATAATACACTTTTTGACACAAACTTCTAAAATTTAATCAACTTCAATTTGTTATAATTTAACTTATATTCTTATACATTATTCACCCACTCTTTTCTATGCTGAAATTCTATCTCTTTTATGATATTAATACTAAACTTTAGCATGTTCCACACCCACAGGTACCAATTAATAAAAGTATAAAGACTAATAAATATCATAATAATGTAACATTAAAAGGTATAAAGATGTCTATATATTTTTAAATAGAAAACATCACAAAACACCTGATCATAAAAGAATACAAATCAAATGTTACTTTGACTGATTCAACACATTCTACTTAAACTTTAATTCAAAATATTTTTTTTAATAAAATGTGTTGATGTAGACAAATTTCTAAGAAGAAAAGTAGTGTTTATGTTGAATATGACCGAGTTCAATGCAGACTAACAATTACTGAGCGTGAATCTCTACATTTTATATTAGGCTCGGTGTGGGGAGCAGAAAAAATTAAAATTGCAGTATTCTAAACATAATAATCATAATAAAGGGTTCATTAAATTAAGATAGCAAAAATTATAATTCAGTGAAAAAATATTGAATAAATCTAAATGGAACAAGTCAAATGAAAAGTTGAATAGTTTTTTAAAAGTAATGAGAAAAGAATAGTTTTGATATGAATTGGGAATAAAGTGAGAAATTAAGACTTTGTTGTGCTATAATGAAGACAAGATTAAAATTATTAAAACAAGTGATGAGGATAATAAAAATGTATAAAACAAAAACAAATTTTTTTTAAAGAAAAAAGCAATATTTAAAGGATTTTATGTTGGAAACATTATATGTGAAGCATCTGGCGATTTAAACTGTAAAAGAATGAAACAATATGGCACAAAAGATGATTTCTAACGACTTCAAAATAGAATAAAACTTTAAAGTCTTTCTTTTTTTCTTTCAGCTCAATTAACTGAAATTCTTCAACTACTTCCAGCCAACAGGTAAGAATTATCTCCCTTGATTCATCCAGCCACTACATTCTTAAAACGAGTATATTTGCCTGTCTATTCTATCAAATGAGTTACATGGCAAGGAAAAGTTATTCAGTGAAAAAATCCGAAGAAACACCAGGAAATAAATTGCCAAAAATGAATTCTTTCAAGTGTTTACTCTTAAATAATAGTAATGAATAAATGAAACAAAGTAGAATAACATTTTATAACTCTTAACTAACTTATTCAGGCACAAGTCTACAAAAATGGAATAATTTTGCTCCACTAACAAATTGATTTGTAAGGCATGCTTAATAATCATTATGACATTTTTTTTTTTTTTTTGAAATCTGAAATTCATATCAGTTGAAACCTGCAGGAACATTTAAATGCTTCCAGCCTTAAAGGGTTAAAGATAGGGCATAATAAATATAGTTATACAATATAATGAGCTGTTATGTTAGACAAATAATGAAATGTCTACATGAATATTTATTAATGCACTTTTTCTTTGTTTCTGAAGGTTACTAAAACTGATGAAAGTTCACCAAAATAGCTACCCAGCCATGTGACACACTTAACAAAGGACTCTTCTACACTTCATTTAGAATTCAACAAAAAGTTGTTTTCACCTGCAGACTGACCAGCCAACATTCTTGCCTGAAGATGAGTAGTGAGGCTACCAAGGAAAAAAAAGATTATGACACAACACAACTCAGGGTTTTACTAATCTGTTGCTCATTTCTTACTGTTACAGAACTTAGAAAGTTCTCTGTATTGATTTGACAATTTGAAATAAAATTATAACTTTCTCTTTCATTAAAAATTATAACATAAAAAGAAGAATGAATAAGACAAAGTAACATTTAAACTTGTGTCCAATTATGCTCAGCAACATTCTAAATTAACATTATTTACAGTATAAGAATGAATGTGTTTTCTGATGTCTAAACTTATTTAAACCAAACATTTTCTATTTTTGGTGCGATGATTAAGTTTCTAAAATAGAACAATTTTCAAAGGGTTGGATTGTTGTCCAAAGAGACAAAAAGACAAAGATAAAAATGTCATTTGTCTTTCTCATAGCTTAAGTGTTCTGATGTTCTTTTTTTTTCTCTCTCTCTAATTCAATATTTTTAAAATTCCCTTTTGCAGATACTTGGTCTATGCATTAATTGTATTTGCATTTACAAAGTCAGTTTAAAATCAGTTCAAACATTTTTTGGGGCAAGAATTTCACATTTGTGTCTAAATTTGTGTATTATATTGAAAGTATAAATATATTTGCCCACTGGATAAACACAAAATTCAAAATGGTACTATTATTTACACTATGATACTATTAACTGTTATTTTTTTTATAAATTACTGTAAACCTCAAAGTGACTGAGATGTGTGATCATTTGAGCTTCATAAAATATCCTCATGAAAAATACCTAGTCAAAATAAATAAAGGTTAAAAACTATAAGCATTGAAACTGACCCCAATAATATTAAAGTAGAAACACAATAACCAAAGCTTTTATTATGGTAGTGATGGTGGGTGGTTGCTGAAAAGGTTTTAGTCTGAACAAATAGGGAGAGTAAAGTAACATCTTATATTTGGTTAGATTTCAGGGAAGTGGGTTGAATTAAGAACTTTTCAGTACCCACTTCAGTGTAAATTAAAGAAATAAAAATGGATCAATACATCAAAAACTTTTATCAAAATAAAATAATATATCAGCAAGAAAAACAAGACGATATTAACTCAAACCTATCGTGTTACATCTAAAATTGCATTAAATTGCAGTATTTAAAATTAGTGTTTTATTGTATAATTATCATTTCTTTAATGAGGACTATTTTATAATATATATATTCAAAAAGAGATGAGAGCAATAATTATATATATATATATATATATATATATATATATATATATATATATATATTTTTTTAGTTACAAAAATAATCATCATTTTTTGTTTCTCTGTTTAGCTTCATCATTGGATAATTTTATTTTAATTAAGATAAAAAGAAAATATATAGGATGAAGACATTTGTTTCATTTAAATTCATCTTCAATGAAAGAGCCAACCTTTTACCCAAAACTCAATGTTTTAAACAATGGGAAATTTTTGGCTCAATTTTCAAAACCTTGAGATATCTGGAGTAAGAAAGATTGCCGTGTCTAATATAAATGTTATTTGTCAGTCTGTTAGTAAATTTTCAAGAAAAATAACTAAATAGTTTCTTGGCTGTAACATAAGTTACAGAAATAAGAAAATTCTGTTTTTTTTCTTTTTTAATTAAATCAAATATTTCAAGAAAAATGGAACTCATTCATTTGTTATAGTTGTACTCAAATACATTCCTAAGTGGCACCATTGCTAAATTCTTCAGAGAAAAAATATTGCTGGAAAAATCTTTCATTACAAAAACCAACCTAATATCATTTCACTTGTTTACAATTGTACAATAAATTCATCTTCACATTCACTGTTCTGTTTTATTTCTTTTTATTTTCAGCATTCAATAGAAACTGCTTTCTTTTTGTTAGGAAAGCAATTATCAAATATAAAAATGCATTGTTGTTGTTCTATTTGTCTCTTTACTTTCTATGAAAGATTCAGATATTTTACATTGTTTTTGGCTGGGAGAATATGTAAAAGGTCTTATCATTGATGACTTGTGACTTCATGCTAGCACAACTATTGACAATCTCCAAGGGTTCCATCTACCCAATTTGTTAACCTGTGATATGGTTTTCTGGCACTTTCCAAAGGTGCCACACTCTGAGATCACCTCCTCAAGACCAATAACATCAATAAGTTACCTTCTTGTCAATTAGAACCAAACCCTTTACTTTATCCACCATGGGCCAATGGATAAAAGTGATGGTTGAAGTAATCCAGTGACTTGGCCCAAAGAGTTGTGCATTCAATACCTGAATGTAGATGAACAAAAAATTGGAGAGTTGAGTTACTAATGGGATATAATTGAAACTGAGATATCCAGAAAAATGGCATGGCACGTGAAAGCAGAACAGTGGGTGACAAAAAGGTTTTGGTTTGAAATTCCAGCATATATGACCTGAAGAAGGCTGGAGTGTACATTATCTGAAATTTCATGAATATGACAATAAAGATGAGGACAATAGTCTGAACAACATAGTATAAATAGAATACGTCATCTCAGAAATATAGGCAGATATATATTTGAGAGAACTTCTAATCATCTCTGGAGGTGGTTATTTTTAAATATCTATCTGTCCAACATTCTCATTCTCATAATACTAGATGTGGTTCAATGCAATGTGAGTTTTTGTACCTTAGTATTCAGTGTCTGGGAATAACCCCAGATCAACCTCGCACATGACCTCCTTTGACTTTTTTGTTTTAAATTTGAGTACAATATTTATTCCAGTATAATACCAAAATTGGATTAATATCTGAAGAGCCTGTTAGCTATTTCATTAATCTGAAATCTTCTTTTGGCAAGATAGGTAATAGTCATAATTTAAAGCATTGTTTTGCATTAATATTCAACTAAACCTTTTTTGTTGTGACCTGACCACCCCTCCAAGAAATCTTACACTAATAGTCTGTATAATTTATCTTGATGCAATAATCAAATTTGAAAGGACCTATAATACAATACTAACCTAAAATATTAATCCAGTTCAGAAGACAACTGTGTGAAGGTGTATTAATAATTATACAACTTTAGGTTCTTAGTTTAAATAAAGATATATAATAGTATTGTTTTTGGTATATATTTTTAAATTCAACATATTTCCATAGGTTTTAAGATTAATTAACTTTATTGTATTTAAGATTACCCTGGATTATAAGAAAGAGAAACAATATTGGAAATTATGAAAAAGTTGAATACTCAAACAACAAATTGAAAACATTGGTAAGATTAGAATTTATTCTAATATTCCAATGTCTTTAAAGATGTAAAAAATGTGGAGAAACTAAGTGTAATAAATGAGAAAAGGGAATTGAGCAGCAAGAAAATAATTAAAGATGCTGGTATTGTGAATGTAAACAGAAAAAAAAGATGCAGAATATTAAGAACTGTAAAATGTCAGAATATAAGGTTCTTAGCAAAAAGAATAACACATGATCTAAGCTATGAATTGGAGAATTCAAAATCAAATGAGTACAGAAATTTACCACAGCTTGCAAAGGGTTATTGGAATAGTGAAAAATGCCTATGAAAAGTTAAGGAAAGTATTATGAAGCAGAAAAACTTAGATACAAAGAAAAGTGTTTCTGAAATGCTATAGAATATGAATCCTTTAATATGGCAGTGAATGCAGGACAATTTCCTCATTGATGAAGATGCCACTTGAGGCAACAGAGATGTGGTTCTATTGAAAAATGCTGAAAATACCATGGACAAATATGAATCATGAAATTTTAAGGAAAATGTAAATTAAAAGAAAGTAACTGTTGAAGTTTTGGTAACATGTAATGAGTAAAAAGGTCTTAGAGAATTTGACATTCACAGGACATATTGAAGGAAAATGGGACAGAGGGGGGCAGTATATAATATATACCAAAAACCAGACTGTATCTGACGATATTTAAACTATGAACCTAAAAGCTGTATAATAAATCTCACACCACCAAATAAGTTATTGTCAGTTTTAATAAAAACCGACATCATCAGCTGAAATTCACATATTTTCGTTATATAATTATAATTATATCCTGAAATTTTTTACTAACAATTGCGAAAACAATGATTTGCGTTTGATATTAGTTTTCATGCTCTAAATGTATAAATATATTTATATTGAAATTGAAAGGGAAATAACTCTTGTATTCCCAAAATAGAGAAAATAAAATTACAAAATGAAATAGTTTTTAAATAGGTTTGTGAAATAACATTTCAAACTAAGAAACTTTCAATGGATAAAAATTATGCATTTTTAAAGAAGGCTAACAAAACCAACAAACAACATTGTGAGTTTTCCAACATGAACTTTTGAGGATATTAATCTCTTTTCTATTAATTACTCAACTACTACTTACTACTACTACTACTAGTAGTAGTAAGTAATGGAATGAAATAGATTTACACTGAAAAAACATACCTTAGTGCTGACTGCGGGAGTGACAAATTTCCAGTGATATGTAAACTATGGAAATTGAAAAGAGCCAAGTCAGCATCCAAATTGCAAAACAACAAACTCCTGAATGTGAAGGAGAAATATTTGGACAGTGTTAAAAGCAAATACAAGTAACTAAATGAGAATGGAAATCCGAAGTGGGACAAATTAATAGAATATTTAGTAACATTCGCAAACGAGATATAATTCCAAAGAAAATTAGACAAAGAAAAACTCTTGGCATGATGAAAGGAGACAAAAGAATGCCAAAGTTTGTCAGAGAATACAGGATATTGCAGAAAGACATTCGTAACAAATGCAGACATGCAAAAGAGAAAAGTCTCAAAGAAATAGAAAGAATGAGTATTACATATAAAGCAGATACAAATAAAGGATTAAGTGAACAGAACAAAAGACATGCTCATTAACACGATGCAGAAAATCCAAGGTCTAGACACTGATATTAGA